AACATCATTAGCCTTTTTAGAGAGAACAAAACCTTCCTTATACCTTTAATAATAAAATTAAAATTCAATTTCGTAAATACTATCTCATCTTTATCTCACCATTTGAATTTTTACTATGTGTGTTTTAACGTTTAGTTGCAAATGTGTAGATTTAAGAAATGAACGAACACACGTATGGGGGCTACGTGCGTTTAAAGGTTTTAAGCACGGGCACGATCCAGCGTGTGAGACCACGGCCCACGACAGGTATCCACAGGGCTCTGCTTTACTTGTCCTCGCATCTCTAGCCTGTGGCACCATGCCTGGCACATATTTCACACTCAATATGGTTTGCCAAATAAAAAAAAGGCCACTTTGGAGTGGCATAGAATAAGAATTTCAGAACTGGAAAAATAAACTGAAACCCATCTCCTCGTTTTCCATCAAGGAGACAGAGGCTTAGGCAGGTTAAATCACAGAGCTAATGGACGTGTGCTGAAAGGAATGTTTTAGGAAGATTGATCTGACATAGATCTATGGGATGCTTCCGAGGAGAAAAAGACCGTAAGCAAAAGCACACGTTAAGAGACAACGGCAATCATCACAGCAAGAGGGAATGAGAGAGCACCCCGGGAGGATGGGAAGGAATGAGAAGCAGAGAAGGATCTGAAAGACACAGAAAACGCTCCTCTGGGCAGTGCTTTCTCACTGTCAGTAAGATTTCATTGTGACCTATTTCTACACATGCTGGTATCAATCATGATACCCAGATATTTTTACCCATGGCCCCGAACTGCACAAAAAGACATAATTAGCAATTCTTTTGACTCATCTAGGGCCTCTGAGAGTGATTCATACCCTCCACTACCCAATTATCCACTATAAATATAGTTCAACCTCTGTCTGTTCCAAGCAATGGTTCTTTATAATGTCCATCCGGATGCCTTTTACTCCATCACTATAGCACTCAGTCCAACCTCTTTAACTTATCTTTTAACATCTCCCATGTTTTTTTCTCCTTCACCTAAGATAATCAATCTTAATGCACATTATTCTGTAATACAACAATAAACAATCTTTCAGAATCAGATAGCAATTTTTATCTTCCGCACACAGGCCAAGATCAAAGATGCATTTGAGTTAATAATTTCTTTTAAAATGAAAATGCAATAGATTAAATGACTTCAGTAAGAAAAAAAAACAGTTGACCTCTTTCATTCAAGACGAGCAATCCAGAGGGAATCAAAGTTTTGCTTGTGAGTAGGAAGGAAAATAATTTGGAGAAGCCCAAGGATCATAGGTAAGAAAGGCCAGGATAAAGTCTGGGCAGGCAGAAGACAGACACCAGGTGGAGTGTCTGCAATTCAGAAGAGGAGATCAGCCACCAGGTGGGCAGGGGCCCTGGAAAGGAGGCATGAATACCCCCTGACAAATGTGCAGAGAGGTGAAGGGCTGACCACTTGTCCATGAACTGGACATCATTGCCTGGCCCTGCCAGCCCACCATGCCTTTGCCCCTCTACATAGTATAATAGTTGAAAACCATCTTGCATTGTTTTGAAATTCAGGCCTAGTCTCTCCAGTGAAAATAAAGCTCCTTGAGGGAAATTTTTCTGCATTTCACTTTTGTTCTTCCTTCAGGAAAAAAAAAAAAAGAGCAAAGAGTAAGTGAATTAAGAATGATATTTTGAAACTATCAGTGTTTCCATTCTATTTTTCTCCAGTTATCATTTAAAACAGCATAGCTCTTACAGCTTTAGAAGCAGCTCCTTATTTGGGGATTGGTTTATAAACTGCATGGTTGAAAATACATCACAGCCCAGGACTTTCTCTACAGCTGGTGATGAAGAAATGAACAAAGCTGGAGCCCAAAAAGACCAATATAGTCGATGTGCTTAGACAAATGTCAGCAGCTGCCAGGGAAGATTTCATACTTAGAATGGTTGGTCGGCTAGAGATTGGTTCTATTATAAGAATTTGTTTCCTCTGCAAAAGAAAAGTTTGAATACACTAAATCTTAAGTGAAAGTTCTAGAGTCCTGGGCACATGATAATTTTTAAAAACCTAATTACAAAGCACTATTTTCCAAGTGAGTTCAAAGATTTTCGGCAAAAGAAAATAATTTAAAAAGAGACTTTTGTCTTTTAAAAAATTACACCAAAGGAATAATATATTTCTGTATGTTTGATGCCCAAAGCATAGAAATAGGCATCCCATAGTCTCATCTGTGCCATTTATTTATTCACTTATTCATATACTCATTCATTGATTGTCAATATATGCTGTGCATTGTGCCAGGTATTGGGGAAACAGAAACATAAGACATCCTCACCCACAAGGATGTCAAACTCTGGGAGAAATACAAAGTTTTTAAAAATGACAAATGCTTTAACAGGAATATACACCTATGTTGGACTTAGGGCCATGACTGAGTAATAAATGGGTTTCAGTAAACAGGTGGAGAAACTGTGTGAATTAGGCAGTTGGAAGCAGACAAGTAAAGACTGCGGTTTCTGGAAATCAAGAATAAGCCACAAGGTAAGACATCCAGGGTGTCCAAATGTATCCTAGAAATCCTATAATCACCAGGTGACAGAAACAAACTAGATGTCAATAATCCAGAAAAGCAGGACATATGCCAAGAACTAGCAGCATTAGCAGAGGCGAAAAACAGACCAGCAGTCTAGAAGGTCAGGCTAGACATGAAAAAGCAGGAAAGTCTTGGGGTAAAGATGGGCTAGTGATCCGGAATCACGGACATTTGGTCAAGTTTATTTGTGATCACAGGGCAGCAATAAGCCAGAGCTTGAAGAAGGTAAACTCAGATCTGCCATGAGCCTACCATGTGCCAGGCATTTGGCTAGTCACTTCCTATAAAACATCTCTCTTAATCCTCCACCCCAAACTGTAAGAGAGTTGTTTGCAGATGAGAAAATTGAGATCCAGAGAGATTAAATACCTTACCCCAAATCACAGTGATCATCTCCCAAACCGTGAGAAAGTTGTTTACAGATGAGAAAATTGAGATTCAGAAAGATTAAATAACTTGCCCCAAATCACAGTGATCATCCTAGTAGAGCCAGGATTCAAACCTTGAGGTCTGGCTTACAAGTCTGTGCACAGTGAGTCTCGTCTACTTGCTTCCTGCCTGGAAAGGCACATTGAAAGTGATTTCAGCTGCTGTGAGAAAGTGCGGAAGCTTTGACTGTAGATTAATTTAGACAAGCTGGCTAAGAGACAGGGAACAAAGATGAAGGGTGGATAATAACAAAATGATCCAGGGAACTTCCATTGAGTGATCGAATTAGATTTAGCATGACAGTTGGTTTTTTTTGTTTTTTATTATTATTTTTTTCTATTTTGCAAAACTTCAAGGTGACAGCGATTATACAATCAGGAGTCTTGGCACCTTTCACTTTGGCTCCGGTACTGCATGTCCAAGTAAAGCTTCTAATAGCTAGGGACATTTCAGTGGCTGAACGAAGAATGTGTTAAATAAGTTTACTCAGGAAAATTAAAGACCAAAGAATGCAGAATCAGAGTCTATGAAATAAAGCCAAGTCTTCTGCCTCAGCTAAACCATTTCTTATCACCAGTGGAACAACCTGGACTGAAGTATTGTTCCAAGCCTGCGCTAGGGGAAATACCCGGGTCGCTGTTGATAGGGACAGAGGGTGGTGTGCTGCTGCTTCTTACTTTTTGTTCCAGGTGGTATAAAAGCCACCATCAAACACTTTATTGAAACAGAATTTAAACTCAACATTCAGCAAACACCGATTGTCTGAGATAAAGAGAGTGTTTTGTCAGGGAGTTCTTAAGAAACTCTAAGTTAGAAGGCTGGGTTAAGGTATGATTTAGCAGAAATGAAAGAAAAGTCAAGACTGTGAGCATAGGAAGGAACGAACAACGAACAAGACAGAGGGGGAGGAGACTATTTTAAAATATGTTTGACGGTTTTGCAAGATGAAAAGAGTTGTGCAGATGGATGGTGATGATGGTTGTGGAAAATGCAGAACTTTTCAGTTCCATACCCCAACCACTACCCTTAAGGGGGTTGGATTCTACGCTTACGATCATGGCCATCGAAAAGGCAAAGGACTCAATTAATCACAATTAACGCCCTTTATTGTCAGAAGCGCCTGCCTCGCACCAGATGCACTTTTCTGTCTAGAGCCCATCATTCCACTACTCGACCAATAGGATGACATACTTCCCCTTATGGTAAGGGTGGGACCGTCCTACACGGTAGAGGGCACTATCTTGTCTTGCATTGGGAAGGCCTGTCTAAGTTGTTTCCACACTTCCCAGTTATCCCATCCCCACTGCCGCGTCGGAAGGCCCCTGAACCGAGCGTCGCCTCGGCAGCCGCACACTACGAGCCCGCCCGGGAGACGTGTCGAAGGCCTGCCGGATCTCGCGAGAGCCGCTGCCGCGCGGGAGTTCTCAGGTCGTAGGGGCGCGGCGCTTCCGCAAAGATGGCGGCGGCTGCAAGCGTCGGCGCTCGGCTGGCGGTCTGGGGCGAACGACTGCGGCGCGGGCTCGCCGCCGGCCGACGGACTGTGCCGAGCCCTGGCCCCTTGGCGGCGGCAGTGGCCGGCGCGGCCCTGGCAGGAGCAGCAGCTGCCTGGCACCACAGCCATGTGAATGTCGCGGCGCGCGAGGGCAGCCTCAGCGTCCTACCTCAGGTATGGGACGGGCACTTTCTGGGAGCCGCAGCCAAGCTCCTCCCTCCTCGGACGCGCCTTGGCTGGGATGGGTCGGGATCTGCGCGCTCTGCCTGCCTTCCGCACCGGGGTTGGGGCGCCGTCGCGGGAGACCCCCGACGGGGAGAACGTACTCCTCTCTGGACTCGGCCCCCACCAGCAGCCCCGAGGGCACCCCAGGCCGGTGACAGGAGATTCAGCCTCCCGCCGGAGAATCCCACGGTAGCCGAACGCCAGGGACAACAAACCGCCGCACAGATTTGGTGCTGTTGAGTGTGGGCGTGTCTTAATTCAGAATTTCTCTGTCGCACCTTCGTCGACCTTTCTAAAGGTTTTACGACCTCTTTGTATAGCGTGAAGTTGTTCTAATAGATGTCATGAAAATGTCAACCATAAAAATTAACCGGTTGGTAATTTCCAGATTTTCCTGTCAACTTTAAGAAA